AGCCCCAGCCCCAGGAAACTGCTTTTTAAAGTATAACTCGCTGTTTCCTTTTCTGTGAATCATAGATTAGACACAGATCTGTACACACTTGTCTGTCCCAGTCCCAGACCGACATTACCAATCTGGATCAATCTTATTCTTTCCAAGGAATGGGACACTATAGTGTAGGTAGGCTGCCTCCTAGTAGGTACATCCAGTTTTCAAATGGACATGAGCTCTTGGTCCTTGTGGTAGCCCCACATGAGGAGCACCTCCCAGTAAGAGGAGGAAGTTCAAGAATGGCTGAGCACTTTCAGGATCCGCATCCCACCTCGCCATCATGCAAGACACACATCAACCCCTGGTGCATGCGTGCGTGTGCACACACACACACATACACTAACACACCCACTTTTCTCCCAGGAGAAAGAGTAGAAACATATCCATGTGCTATCATGGAGGTGGGTTAGCCTTGCATCTTCCATAGCAGAATTTCCTTGGAGTAGCTAGAACCCAGGAGAGACTGGCATGGGGCTATATCATCTCAGTACATCAGCACCACCCACCTGTGAACACCTGCTATTTTGTTGGGTTTCTAGCACATTCCTGGGTTGTAGGGAACCACTTGGCATTTTCCTGGCCACTTAGAAATGGGTACATATTGACTACAGGATGTAATGTTTTAACAATACCAAAGCCATTTACATCCTGCTTGTGCCTATGGCTATAGCTGCTTCACAGCTTGGTTCTAAGAACCCTGCAGTCACGATCTCATAACAGCTTCTCCACATTGTCTGATCTCTGGACTTTTTCTTAGACTTTCAAAGCAAGTGAAATTGTGTTTACTTCCTTCAGCTCCTGACCAGCAGCTTTTGTAAGAATCATGGGCTGGTGACTGCTAACTGTAAGGACTGTGGGCAAGTAATGGACCTTCCACCTCATTATTCTGGGCTTCTGGACTTGCCGTACATTTGCAGATTCCAGGCTACAGCTTTCAATTTGCTGGCACAGAATATGGTGGCTTTAGAAAGCTGTTGGGAAGGGATAGGCAGAATGTATTGATTGGATCTTTCTCTACAGTTTGCTGAACATTTTAAGTCTTTAATATTTTTCTCTGAAATTAAATATATTCATATTTTATTTATCTATCTATACCTCACCAAATATAATCTGATGAAACCAATATGGACTTGTACCAACACTGTCTAATCACCCTACTAAAAGCATAAATACAGAATTATTTGAAGAATAATCAATATTGGTATGAAAATGAGGGCTATATGGTTAATCTAAAGGAGAGTTAATTGACAGAGGACCTCTGCCAATGTTTGCAGAAGATATTTACCCAGATTTTGTTATCAGGAGATTATCCCACTCCACTGTTTATTCAAAGTCCTACAGATGAAGGCTTGGCACCAGGCACAGTGGTTTGGGACTTGAAGTGGCAGTGTTGCCGGGCACATTGGTTCCCACATCTCAGAAAGATCTGAGAGTCGAGTCCAGAACCTGGCCCCACACAGTGTGCTCAGGATCTCTGGAGTGGAGCCCTGGGCTCTCCTGCATGGAGGGTCCCCTCTACTGTGTAACTGGGCACAGCGCTCCCCTGCAGAATGAGCCTCGCCCTGGGTCAGCAGCAAACCTGGAATGTGGACCCAAAGTCTCTCCGTTTAGTTCCTTTTAAAATGAAAGTCATCCTGCCTGATTTTCCCAGCTCAGGGCAACTGAGATCATCCAGTGAGAGCGAGGGCAGGAAGCAGAGTCGGACCCAAGCATATCTGACTTTGGAGCTTACCATTGCATTGGATGCTCTTCTGAGATTTTTAGAAATCAAGCAGAACATTGCTGCTCAGACTTAGGCATGTGGACCAGCAGCAGCAGCATCACCTGGAAGCTCATGAGAAATGCAGAGTCTCAGGATTCACCCCCAGACTGGCTGCATTTGAATCTGCCTATTAATGGGTTCTCTAGATGATTTCTTGGTACCCTTAAGTTCAAAAGCACCACTGTAGAAGCCTTGAGTTGGGGAAAGAGATGACCTGAGGTTATGGCAACCATGCAGGAATCATTATCCTAGAAAACGCAAAGGATGGGCGAATAATTACTTGCTGGGAAATTGAGAGACAGGTAGCAATAAGAGGTTTCAGCCCCTGCTATCGGAGCTCCTGCTGCTGAGGAAGCTCCCTTCATCTAAGAAAGTCCTAGGCCCCCAGGAGAATGGGTTTTAAGATAGGAACAAATTATTTTCTTGTGGGTGTGTTTAATTTTCCAAGGTAACATGATTACTTTTATTTTTTTTAAATGAAAGAAAAATCAGGAAGAAAGAGTTTGGCAAAGCTGACACAGCAGGCTTCCTTTTGGAAAGTTCTCTCCCGCCTGTTGGGTGTGCATTGCATTTTGTTTGTTTCAGAAGGGAGTCCTTTGTTTCCCTATATGATGTGAAGCATCCACCGGGGAGGATGGCCAACTAGGTTAGAAGGTCTAGTTTCTAGGGTATCTTTTCTGTGATTGTTGAAATCAAGTCCCATCTCAGTCTGTTTGGCTGCTACAACAAAATATTGTGAACTGATTTATAACAACAGAAATACATTTCTTAGAATTCTGGAAGCTGGGAAGTTTAAGATCAGGGTGCTGATAAATTCAATTTCTGTTGAGGGCCTGCTTCCAGGGTCATAGACAGTCCCCCTTGATGTGTCCTCACATGGTAAAGTGGCAAGAGGTCTCTCTCAGGCCTCTAAGGGCACTGACCCCATCGTGAGGGCTCCACCTCCAAGGCCTAATCACCTTCCAAAGATCCCACCTCTTAATACCATCACCGTGGGGCTAGGATTTCAGCACACAAATCTGGGGGAGGGACACAGACATTCATAGCAAACCCTAAGACATTCCCTTGATGTATTGAAATGGCCCCTCTCACATGATGCTCCCAACAGATAGGAAATGCCTGAATGGAGAACCAGGAAACCACATTACAGACCAGGGCTTTAAGGTGTGTAGAAATCCAGCCAGTCGTCACCCTGAAGGCCTGCTGTGGGGAAACGTCAGTCCAGTTGAAGAGACTCCTAACCTGGGGCTGAATGTCCAGTGGAGTATGAAATACAGTTCCTGGAGAGGCCTCCTGATCCAATCCTCTGTCCCTTCCCTGCCTTTCCCCAGTTTGCTCAGGGGTGAGGCTGTACAAAACCCCTGGGGAGATGGGATTTCTTTCAAGTGATTTTAACCCATGTTCTCGTCTCTTTATGATTTGTATGTACTGCATCATTTAACTGTTACAAGTCACTTTTCTGAGAAACCAAATCTGTCTAGGAATTGTACCAATTCCCTGAAAGAGTCAAGATGCCATTTGTCATCATGGTTCCAAGGACTGTGTCCATGGCTCCAAAAAAGAGTCAGTGAGGAATATTAGAGAGACTTGGTCACCACCTTACAGGAACTTACAGGCTAAGTGATGACACATTAATGTCCTGGCTGCATATGTCAATCCAAGTGTGATACTTATTCTCCTAATTTCAAAGAGACTCTGCACATAGTAATAGGCCAATTTAGGACCTTAAAGCCCTGTCATTGTAACCCTGGGTTTCTATTCCCACCCTCACCTTCCATCTTCTTATACTGACTTCACTTCAAATTACCCAAATTAAAGTCGGGTAAACCAATTATTTTGGGGTCCTTCCCTGTTTTGTTTTGAAGGTTTTGTTGTTGTTGCTGCTGCTATTGTCATTTTGTTTTCATTCTCCCGAAGTCTAGATGGAAAGAATTGGGGTCAGAAAGATATCATCATCTTCTAGTTTCATTCTGTTAACAAAGTTTAGAGTCATATGGGTAGGATCCTTGATCTTGAAAAAAATATGCAATTTTAAGTTTTGTTTCCAAAAGATAATTTCAGTTCAGCTTAAAACAATAATAGAGGGTGAATATAAGAGCAACTGCCTCACCAGGCTTTCCCCTGGAGTCCTTTGTCACACCTGATTTCAGAGTAAAGAATTCTAGGGGTGTGCCAGGGGACAGGGACTTAAAGTGAAAGAGCACTTCAGCTGTTCCAAACCAGACTGTAAACCAGCCCCGTCTCCTCCTTTCTCCCATCCCTGCTACCTAACAGATGCCCTCCATCACCCGCATGAACTGGGAAGGCTGGTTATTGACAGCCAGGCAATCTGCGCAATAAAGCTTAACGGTCTGCATCCCCTTGTACTGTGTTGTCGATGTTTTCAATGGATCACCTTCCGCTGCTGGTCCCCACACTGCCACTGACTCCTTCTCCTTCTTTTCTTTCCCTTCAAGCGTGCAAACGCAAAGAGCAAGAACCAAACAAAGACAGGAACAATTCCCAGAAGAAATCCCGCCTGGTGTTCACCGACCTCCAACGCCGAACACTCTTCGCCATCTTCAAGGAGAACAAGCGCCCGTCGAAGGAGATGCAGATCACCATTTCCCAGCAGCTGGGCCTGGAGCTCACCACCGTCAGCAACTTCTTCATGAACGCCCGGCGCCGCAGCCTGGAGAAGTGGCAGGATGACCTGAGCACAGGGGGCTCCTCGTCCACCTCCAGCACTTGTACCAAAGCTTGATGGAAGGACTTTGCCGGGCACAAGTCACCTCCAAATGAGGACAGCAGATACCAAAAGAAAACACAAAGGAGAAAAAAAAAACACCAGATTCTTAGCTGGGGCCCTTCACTGGTGATTTGAAAGCACAATTCTCTTGAAAAGAAACTTCTATTCTAGCTGTAATCATAGGCCAGGTGTTCTTTTTGTTTGTTTGTTTTTAATGGCTATGGAGTCCAAGTGCAAGCTGAAAATTAATCTCTTTGAACCAAACACTGTCCTCCGAGCATGCTAAGCATCCCAGAAACCCAAATGGGGGCCTTCCTGGAGCAGGTTAATTCCAGTATTGTGTCAACTAAAGCTCAGGATTGCTTAAAATGTCCACAGTCCCACTTCGGGTCCTGTCAACCTCTAGCTGTCAGCATTCCCATGGGAAACAGTGGGAATTTAGGCCGTGGAAGGACTCTTGAGTTTAGGCTTCCAAGACACTAAAACAAGAGAAGAATCTAGCAACAAGAATGACCTCATTTGTTTTCCAAGTGCTTAGCCTCATTACATCACAGTACACCAAAGTTCACAGCCATGACATTAAAAAAAAAAAATCAGAATAGTAACTACTGAGCACAAGTTTTAAATATGGAAGTTTAAAAAAAATAACAATCCAAGGACCTGTTTTTCCAACTCAGGCATCTTTCATCGAATGGTTTGGAGAGCTTTAAGTTGATCCAGTTAGTGGTTTTCTTTTCTTTACCTCCTGGAAATCTCATGTGGTCTTGGATCTGTCCAAAAACAAATCAGTTCACTTGAGCTCAAAGTATCAAGCACAACGAAGATAAACAGAAGTAAGGAAGGTTCTGGATTCATTGCATCTGGATTTTCAAGACACCTGTTGTGAAGTCATTAGGGAATCGTTAGGAATATGGCTTCAAGCACATTTTGCAGTTTGCTACAAATTTTGTTTGTACATAACGCAGACGCACACTCAGGAGGCCAATTTAACTGTTACGGTACATGGAGCAAATGCAGCATTTTAAAAGATCTTAAATTTTTTTTTAGATCTAATGTATCCTTCTTGATTTATTAGTCATCTGGTTCCTCCTATCATGCATTAACGACCACCACGTAATTCATTCTCTTTCTGATTTGTGTTGTTTCCTCCACCATCCCGTTAATAGGGATGTTTCCAGTGTTTTCTAGAAAGAAAAATATTAATAAATCAAACCACTACACATGTTGCTCATGACTGTCATCTAGTCCTAACTCTCTTCCATTGTTGACTCATCCTTGCAAAACAGCTGATTAAATCTGGAGAAAACACAGCACACCAAAGAAGCAGAATACTGCAAACCAAAGACATTTATTACTTGCCATTTTCTAGCCTAAAAATACTGTGATTACTTTTAGAAATCAGAAAAACCTCTGCAACTCCGAATGGCATTCAGCTCTTGCATTTGACTCAGTTATGGGCTGAGCGAACCAGCTACGCCAAGGATACGCCAAGGACGTTAGCCAAGTACCCCAGGCGGTGGCTTTACCACGCCAGCTCTGGTTCCTGGATGTCACCTTCCCACAGCAAGCGAAGAGCACCCACAGAACTCTGGGAGATTGCAAAGGTCACGATGTGCATATTTACCAGTGAATGGCCCCAGGTGGGCACCATGGGGGTGTTCAAAGCAAGCCAAACGCTGCAATGATTCTTTACAGACACTTGAGACTGACTTTTTTATGAATTACTTAATCGAAACCAAAGAAACTTTTTCTGCACCTACTTCTGCAACAAATAGAACTGTCCCATAAATGAATAAATAAATCCGTAAATCAATGGAAATCACCACCAACGAAAGGAAGCACGCCAGAAAAAAAACAACAAAAAAAAGTCCACAAGAAAACAGTGAGATGCACTGTGTTCAAATAGACCTCTTGGGACATTTTTTGGAAGCAGATTTGAAAGAAAGGGTTAAGACAAGAATTGAAATAAGGAAGCGCCTCCGTGGCTGCTGCTTCATTTGACAACTCACACGGTAATCTTAAAGTTGAAGATTGTCTTTAATTTGTGCCTATGCAGTTTTTCAAAAGAACACGGAACAGAGCAACAGAAACCTCAACAGCTACAATACCAAAGATGAGGATTTCTCACATCTTTTGTTTCCGTTCATGATCTCCTTTTGCCTGGCTAAAATACTAATAGCGTCATTGATCTGTGCAAAGGTAATCAATTTTGTTTCTCTGAGCAACAAAAGGAAAGGGTCATTTATTTGATTTTATCGTTTTCCTTTTATTTTGTTTTATGGCTTTTTACCCCAACATGGAATCTCTCAAAAGATTCCATGGACTCCAAATTTAAGATGTTGGGATACTGAGTAATTCTCTCTGCTCAACCAAGTGTGGGGAATGACATTGTCGCTTGAATGTTCTTTGCTTAACCCTTAGACTTGGTTCCTTCTATGTTCAGAGTCGCATCATCAGGGGAGGGAAGTGGAGCTAGGGTCGGGGCAGGGGTCTTAGTGACGCATCCTCTCCCTAGCCACAAAACCAAAGAATTTTTAGAGGAATTTAACCAACCTCATATTCATGTGATTGCTACATCTTAACAGGGCTTCATTTGGGGGTAGGGGAAACATGTAAAGATAATTGCCAGTTTCTACTTTTCTATTAGCTTTTTAAAAATCAGCTGTAAAGTTGCATTTCTAAAGAAAGATATATATAATATATGAATACATATATAGATCAACTTGACATTGGTGATAACCCCAAATTTTTGCTGTCCAAATTCATGTCTTGTTTTTTGTCACGTGCTTCATTTGCTGAAGATTCAGCTTAGAGTTTCGCTCATGTCTCATACCATGACAGAGTTAATTGGACATTGTGGATGATTTGGAGTATTCAGATTTCTATGAAAATTTCTGGGAAAGAGAATTCAAGTATTTCACCATTTAACCTGTTGATAAATAGATTCATGATATGAATGAGTTTTATTTGTATCTAAAGTCATCTTTATTCTATGCCTCAACCACGACCAAGGTGGTGAGTGAGGTATAGCCACCAGATTCAGCCCAGAGCTGGGCCACTGATGGTGGGGTGCTCATCTTCTGTAACTGCTGGGAAGATTCTGTGGTCCATTCCCACCAGCTATGGAATATGAAGCCAGCTCAGAAAATCGTTCTCCAGGAGATTCTGTCCATCAGGGTGTTCCAAATCCCCCTCAGTGAGTAGATCCACCAGAGACTTCTCATGGGGAAGTCCAACTCCTGTTGCAATGGGTTGATCAGTTTCCTCAGGGTGGTACACATTACCAATTTGCATTGACAAGCCTGCGTGCAACCACAGCTGGCACTGGGGTGGGACCATGGTGTTGTTCTTGGGGGGAGGCGTCTCAGTCCTGGAGAAAAGACATGTAGCAGGTTTGGGGGAGAGTCCCAGAGTCCTCCCCCTGGAGAGCCCCATCATCTACCACGCCACCTCCTCACTCCCAACCATGTAGATGGCCCTTTAGGCAGAGACTGCAGCCATGGAGCTGGGAGAGAATGTGATTCTCCATGATTTTTGTAATTTATCCCAGCTAGGGGATTGTTCCTTGATGTTTCCCTTGTGTCCCTTTTATCCTTTTCTCATACTCCACGTATCCTTTGTCAAAGGATCAAGAGAAGAGTGTCTTTCAGCAGGGGATTGTTCCCATGTGTATTGATGAAAATGAATTTTAACTTGGCTATTTCTAAACAAGTCCTTGTGACTGTGGCCAATGGAAATGGTTGTTCTTGAGAATAGGTTGAGGAGCTAAGTCTCTTGGTTTTGTTAGTGATTCTTTGACACATTAATCTCAGCATCTTGGTCTCTGGCATCCCATGAAGATGCATAGGCCAAAAGTCTGCCTTTGTGGCCTGACATTTCAGAACTGGTCAAACCAGTGTTCTGGTGATCAGAAAAAGATGTCATAGTATGAAAAAGGCAAGAATTTCCCTCCAAGAACTCTTGATAAATATCTCATACTAAATAATGTTATACCAGAGAGAAGTGCTTGCTTTTTTAAAAAAATTATTTACATACATAAATATATATGTGCATCTTGTACATTTATTTATCAAAATTTAAAGCCCTACAGAATTTGTTAGAAATCTGAAAGAAAAAAAAATTGCTGTATTGAAAGATTATAGAATTTAAAACAGTGAGTTTCCTTAAGAATTTTTAAAAAATTGTTTTACATTAATAATTTCAGAGAAAATAACCTTTTGGATTTGGTTATAGTTTAAAATCCATTCCTCAATCCAAGAAAAATTCTAGGCATGCCTCAGCCATCAGCAATGACAGGGACTATGTGAAGGACTACAAAGTTTCACCTTCTTGAGGCAACAGATATTCTAATGTTCACAGCTACTAAGTGGAAAGATATTTAACCTTATGCCTTTACATAATGAGGTTTCATGTTTGCTTTCAACATAACGTGATTTTGGTACTAGGGATATGATTGTTCCATTCCAAGAAATTTTTTTAAAAGATATTTATCTTCTAAAGGAAAGCAACAACAACACCTCAACACCAATATTTAACAACTTCCTCCAAAATGTAAAAGAGTGTTTAGGATGTAGCACACAAAGTTACAGGCTAGTCTGAGCTAGGAAGGACCCGGTGCAATGCTTTCTCTGGAAAATTCAGAGTTGGCCGCAGAGCAGCTCTTTTCCCAGAGACTCTTAGCAATTATGAGTTTAAGAAATACAAGCTCATTTTCATTTCAAGCTCAAATAAAATCAAAATTAGGAAGGTAAATCTCACACACACACACACACACTTTTCTACGTCCAGTAGTGTATTTCAAAGCTAAATATAAATACCCCTATCAACCATTTTACATTGTCTATGCTGGCCACCCACATATTAGTGCAATAAATTAAAGTTGAGCAGATTTTTTAAAAGTCATAATAACTACTGCTGCCTAGGCATAGGGAGAAACTTTCCCACTTTTGAAAATGTTAGGATTCTAGGAGTCTCTGTCATTAAAGTTTCTTGACAGCATGCCTTTGCAGTGAACCCAGATCTTTAGGTGGTTGTATAATGAGAATTTTCCAAAATCTAAGAACAAACTGGG